AAATTGTTCTTGCAAGATTTGTTCATTTAATTTGTTGTTGACTAGTTTTAGTAAAAATTAAGAATTCAGGGGGTTGCAGTACAAAGCCAGATGACCGCTGATGATTGCACTGTCGAGAGCATTATGAATAGTCAATTTAAGATATCTTTTTCATGTGAAAATAAAACATTACCATGGAAACTGGATCTTATTTCTTGCCCATACAAATTGAGTTCGCTACGTTCACTCGCGAGATATCAAGTGGAACACTTGATGATAAAATCCGTATCTCCGCGCGCCCATGTAATATCCTCTATATATGCAAATAACAAGAGAAACCATCATAAATCTAGCCTGCGTAGCCAGGCGTTCATAGCTGCATCGAGAGAGTTTGGGTTCCCTTCTGGGTTTCTCCGGCCCAAGCTCTCTCGGAGCAGCTAGGAACGCCTGGCTACGCAGGCTAGATTTATGATGGTTTCTCTTGTTATTTGGATATATAGAGGATATTACCTGGGCGCATATACAAATATTTGTAACTCACACCCACACAGTGACAATGCGCAAAAATCCATTTTGTCACTGTAATTTATATACTGTCAGATAMCTAGATGGCATCTCAACTCATCATCATCCCACTCTAATTGCACCTCAAAGGTGTAGACTCTTGTTTTTTCCTTCTCAATCTGTCCGACTATGCTTTCTGGCTGCCACATCCACACTTGCGGGCTAATTGTAGAGTCTAGGAAGGAACAACCGACAGGGGCTTATAATATGGGATTAAACACCGTAATCCAACTTGCTGGGGTGGGCATAAAAGGAAGACCTAAGACCTAAGACCCAAAAACGAAGACCCCGACAAAATCAATTCAAAATCGTTCCAAAAGTGCGTTATGTCACGCAGAACATAACTAACATCAAAACACGAACGTTTCAAGGATTTTTAATGGGGTCTTCGTTTTTGAGTCTTTGGTCTTAGGTCTTGGTTTTATGCCCACCACAACTTGCTGTTATCTCTGTGCAAAGTTCAACGTTATATCCGCTCGGTTTTGAAATACAATACAAATGATTGACCTTACTTTGGTGAATGGGAGAGAATTTCATAACAGAGAAACAATAAGGTTTGTATATTTGCAAATTTGAAGTTTGAGAATGACTTATATCTTTATATTATCTTTATTATGTATTTATTTATCGACTAAGCGCGCTGTCTAGATGGGAAAATTTAAGGACGCCAATCTAAGAGTTACATAATCACAGTTTTCATTAGCTTGAGGTAGCACTGGGAATAACATTTTCTTTCTGTCAACTGCACTAGTTCTTGCATGACCATCCGAAATATTTTTTAGTATGACTTTTGTCACTAGAAATAGCTTTTATGTTTTGTTTTTAGTAACAAYTGCAAAAAAAATAAAAAAGAAATAAAGAAATCGCAATTCGCCGCGCCGCTTGACCCAAAAGACACGTCTTGACATAAAATTATAAGTTGAGATGGAATATTAATCTGCKTCCGACTAAGAATCCACGTCAAATCTTAGTTAAGTATTCACATCGTCGATCATGGTAAATGGTACATTCAATATTATAGCCATCCTCTCAAAAGTGCGAAGAAAGAAGTCAAGATTCAAACTCGGCAAAAAAGACTATATATGCTTGATAAAAGCTATTGAACAACATAACACACATACCACTCACTCGGCGCGTCTGAACAGTAGTCTCCAATGATCACCACACTTGGCTTCTTTGTAAAAAAAAATGCTTGTAAAACACATCTTTCATGCTGGTAAGATATGTAWAATCAGCTGGAAATAAACCTGTTTTCCAATGCTCCGTTGACGGTACATTTCTGTATTTTTTATCTGTACTAAGATATTTTTTCTTCGTTGCGGTACGTTTTTCGATCTAACAGACACAGATTTGCAATTGGTTTCCCCCCAGAAGCCGTATGGGTCAATCGCACTAGTCAACTTAGTAACGYAACCAGTCGGAGAAGTGCATACTTTGGGTTGCTCTTGAAAAACTTTTCAGGCAAAATCGTTTTTGGGACTTATTTAATCTATCATCTTTTCTTTATCGTTTCAGATCATGGAAAAACGAGACAAAAATAACAGAGAGGTAACTTTCGACGATGTTTTCAACCAAGTCAAGTCGTTTGGTCGATACCAACATTGCATTTATTGGTTCATCGCTGCCTTAAAGATCCCAATGTCAGTGCAGTTTGGCTTCCTGATCTTTAGTTTTGGAACTCAAAAGTTCCAGTGCGACTCATYGAATGTGACATGTCCTTTAAGCACATGTTGCAACAACTGCACATCATATTCATTTGATCAGAGATACGTTAGTGCTGTGTCAGAGGTATGTCTTTCATACTGGGGGGAGGGTCATACTGGGGGGGGGTGGATTATTAAAGAACTGCTTTGGGATACTAATTTATTTTATAAAGATATGATAAACTCCAGCCATAAAATTTGCTGGAGCCAAAAAGTGAAAAATATACTAGCAAGAAATGGGTTAGGTAATATATGGGCAGAAGAAAATAATAATTCTYGTGCCCGGCCRACAAACCCTTTTGCTGTTATTGAAATGCGACTACAAGACATAGAGAAACAAAATTGGCATGGAGAACTTTTTAATGATGAAAGAGGAATCCATGGCCAAAGAAATAAATTAAGAACTTTTTGACTTTTTAAAGTCAATTATTCGTTAGAGGGCTATCTGACAAAAGTTAAACAATTTCATCACAGACGAGCCCTCACTAAGCTAAGAATAAGCAACCACGACCTAGAAATTGAAAAAGGTCGATATTCAGGTGGTTATAAAAAAGTAGAGGAAAGGAAGTGCTTTCATTGTAAAGATGCTGTAGAAGATGAAAAACACTTCCTTATTAAATGCCCCCTCTAAGATTAGAGATAAATTTATTAAGCAAAATAACATTCACGATTTTATTGCGGAGGAAGATTTTTTTCTAAAATTAATAGATCCTCCAAAAAGATTACAAACACAAGCAGCAAAGTATATTTATGAATGCTTTGCCTTGCGAAGTAAGACAAAATATGGAAATAGTAACCTGTAAAAAAACAAACATATGAGAAGGGACAGCACAAAAGGAGGCTAAAGAATTAAGACCCTTTTGATGCAGCGGGTGAATTAATT